TGCATAATTTGCAGGGAGCAAGAAGGTTGAGTTCAGCTCCTCCATCAGGTCTTTCTGTGTGGAGGTCACATGTTCTCCCTCCCACAGTCCACACACATGCAGTTAGTGGGGATAGGCTAAATCACACCGTCGGTGTGAATGTGTGAATGGTTGTCTGTGTGCCCCGCCTCCTGCCTTAAGACGGCTGGGATAGCCTCCAGCACACACCACAACCCTGGAAAGGTTACGCGGAAGCAAATGGACGGATAATTATAATAAACGCTTTTAGTAACGTTGTTAGTCCCCAAGCAACTGCAATGATCAGATACCTTGGGGGAGTTTTTTTGTTTTCAATGTCGTTTAATTTGCTGTGTTATTGTCGATTTTTCACGTGTTCGTACAGGATATTTTATTTGTTTTAATGTTATATACTTATGTGCTACATGTATTTTGACTTTTGTTGCCATGGTGGCAGGTCTCTCTTGGAAATTAGATCTCAATGAGATTTTACCTGGATAGATAAAGGACTAATAAAGTCAGCAGGTACAGGGCAGCACCTTCCTGCACACAGATCTTTACAAAGGCTGGTTTCCACTCACAAACTCCATGCCGCTGTCATTGGTGAAAAACTCCTGCACGCGGATGCTCCAGTCCTCTCTGGGGATCAGCGCTCTGTGGGGTCTGTGAGCCTGACACAGGTAGCAGATCCACGGGTCCTCCAGCTTCAGCAAATCGAACGTTCCCGGCCCGACGAGGATGTTCAGACAGTCCTCGCAGTAAGACCTGAGGACGGAGAGCAGAGGTTCAGAACGGAGAACGGGCTCGTATGTGCCGAAACACTGAAAGAAGCTGAGCGCAACCTGCAGCAGCCATCGTTGCCACACAGCAGGACGTCCATCCCGTAGCAGCAGATGGTGCAGTAGGACTGATATCCGTCGCCGTCGTAGCGATATAAGGTTTCTGTGAAGTTATCCTGCAGGCACACAGACACCATCACAGACACCATCACAGACACCATCACAGACACCATCACAGACACCATCACAGACACCATCACAGACACCATCACAGCCGCTCAGGAGGAGCTTGGACGTTTTGAACACAGAAACAAAGAAAAACATCTGCTCAGTTCTTTAAAAGCTCTGCAGGATTTGTCTCTGCGTCAGGTCGACGCTGTAACCGACACCACAAACCACAGCAGCGTCCGTGCAGCTGTGCACCAAACATCTGCCAGCTGTGTTTGACACATCTGGGTTGAAGCAAAGTGACTTTAAAGCGCGTGCTGATGGATGCACGGCTCCTTCCTCACGACTGTCATGGAGTCGAGCAGCTCCTCACCTTACACTTCAGGCACAGGCCGCCTTTAAACAGAGGGTGGAAGATCTCCATGTTGTCCGTCCCGCAGCACAGACAGTACCCTGCAGACAGCACACGATCAAACACACGAGCTCAGACACGCAAAGACTCGATGCAGCGCTGCACACTCACCTTCGATGTCCAGCTTCATGTCCACGATCGTGCTGATGATCGTCTCTGAAA